TTACGGTAGTGAAATGTTGACAAGACAAGGTTTTCCTCATATACACAATTATTGTTTGTGCTACAAACAAGAAGTGCCCAAAAAGAAAGCTTATGCTACTATACAAGTGCTTATGTATGTGATAACAGCTGTTTAGGAACCATTTTGTTAGCAAGTATTCTAAATAACAGTGAAAGGGTTGTCGAAAGGAAACGGAACGGTGCAGTTTTCCTCTGTTGCAGCCAGTGGCTGAATTTAGAAGAGTCTTGACAGATGAGATTGGATGTCAGCAAGTAAGGGCGCACTATATAGCAGCTTCAGTTCATGTTTGATCTCATCTCGCCTACCCAGACCCAAAACTGCAACAAGTCAGATAGAAGACACCGGCACAAATACTTCCCCTACTCGTTTAGAACAATGCCGCGGTTTTTTTTTTTTTTTAATTATGTTTAAGGATGAAGGAGACAAGGCCAACGGCTTAATGTTCTCGGCCAATGACACGATAGTCTGCACTTAGAGCGGATTTTTCACAGATACCTACCCTGGGTGACAGAGACTTTTCTGGCTCCGGGCCTACGGCCGAAGATGTGTTGGCCTTCGGCCCACACCGAAAACTCCCGCCGCACGCCAGACAAACCTCTGGTACCCAGGGTAACAGACACCATGAACTACGTAACCAGGTTTTTAGGACCTACGGCCTCCTGTCCGAGCAGGTTACCGGCACTTTTTCGAGTGAGCTATAAATCGGGTAGCCGTAAATAACATCAAAATTAATAGCAACAATCCAAAAGTCTATAAAGATAATTGTTAAACTTTGCGGATAAAAGCTTCACTTTCTCAGTTCGTTAGCTGCCAAGTGAAGGGTTGTAGGTAAATGAAATTTGGCGCAACTACGTAACTGCGAAATGCATTCGACCAAAAGATGACCATAAGCCGCATCGAAGACACAACTGTGTTTTAATAGTCGAACTCCTGTCTTTAACTGAATTCCTGCAAAGCAACCCATATTTTTAAAACAGGAAAAGGGAGGCTCTTATTGACCAGGGAGCCCTTAAGATAATTCTTCCGAACGTACATTATGACGAGGCATTGATACTAAGTGTCCTGCCGTCTTTAGAAGACCGTAGGGGTGCTGCTTGCGAATCATTAATGCGTAATTTAAAACCATCCAACCCTGTGTTTGGCCTTGCTATGAATGCAAGGGTATAATTACCGTTCACTCTTACTCGTTACGACGCTGTCGGAACTATAATAACAAAATGTGTAAGACAAAAAGATTGTCAGAATTTGTATCTGTGAATTATTTAGATTTTTTGTCATACGATAAATGTTAATTATGTTTAATTTGCCCACGATCCTTTTATCCAGCTCTTAGCTGCAAGGGGTTCTGAATAAACAACTCTACCTCTACCTCTACCACGTTTTTCGTGTAAAATGTGGGTGTGTGGGTGTATGTGTGCGCGTGTTTTACACAGCAATTATTGGACAAAGCTGAGTATGACATAAAGAATTATGAATAGAAAATCCGAATCCAATAATAGTGGTCTTTCATGACAAAGGTGTTACCATTCAGAATATTTCCATCACCAAAAAATGGCTTCGTACTGACCTGAATCGATATATGTCAGGCTGTCGCCTTCATAGCATTTACCTGTTCCTCTGTAGTTTATTCCAGCAGANAACTGCGAAATGCATTCGACCAAAAGATGACCATAAGCCGCATCGAAGACACAACTGTGTTTTCATAGTCGAACTCCTGTCTTTAACTGAATTCCTGCAAAGCAACCCATATTTTTAAAACAAGAAAAGGGAGGCTCTTATTGACCAGGGAGCCCTTAAGATAATTCTTCCGAATTTACATTATGACGAGGCATTGATACTAAGTGTCCTGCCGTCTTTAGAAGACCGTAGGGGTGCTGCTTGCGAATCATTAATGCGTAATTTAAAACCATCCAACCCTGTGTTTGGCCTTGCTATGAATGCAAGGGTATAATTACCGTTCACTCTTACTCGTTACGACGCTGCCGGAACTATAATAACAAAATGTGTAAGACAAAAAGATTGTCAGAATTTGTATCTGTGAAATATTTCGATTTTTTGTCATACGATAAATGTTAATTATGTTTAATTTGCGCACGATCCTTTTATCCAGCTCTTAGCTGCAAGGGGTTCTGAATAAACAACTCTACCTCTACCTCTACCACGTTTTTCGTGTAAAATGTGGGTGTGTGGGTGTATGTGTGCGCGTGTTTTACGCAGCAATTATTGGACAAAGCTGAGTATGACATAAAGAATTATGAAAAGAAAATCCGAATCCAATAATAGTGGTCTTTCATGACAAAGGTGTTACCATTCAGAATATTTCCATCACCAAAAAATGGTTTCGTACTGACCTGAATCGATATATGTCAGGCTGTCGCCTTCATAGCATTTACCTGTTCCTCTGTAGTTTATTCCAGCAGAGAGTCGTCAAATAGCAGTTACCATTCGTCGAGTAAGTGGTATTTTTGCTGCTCTTGCCTATGTTTCTAGGAAGTATCTCAGCTATTTCTTCTTCAACTTAAGGAGTGAAATCGTCTGCCAGTTTCTCCACTGAGCTCTACTATGCCAAAACAGTTCAGCCATAGCCGCGCATTCTGCTGTCCCCTTTTCTGTTTATTATTTATACAATTGACGTCATTTTTAAAATTATTATTATGTTAAATTTGGTCAACAACTCATGTGGTCATGAAGAACTAGTAAGGGAATTTAGGCTAATCGCAAACGAGGAAATATTTTGAATAATTAATTCACAATAGTTGGACAAGATTAAGAAAAATTTCATTGTAAGCACATGAAGTATTTGCTTATACAGAGACAACTAACTGCAAGGCAATGACAGATATTGATATTTCGCCAAATCAGCTAGCACTACAATTATTTAACTAGTGTGCTTGCGTTTGTTTTGTTTTACTGTTGTTTGTTTCCAGCGTTTTTAGAAATATGTCACAGTTAACACAAAAAAAATGAAGAAAAATATACACGAACAGCACAAAAACAATGGGTTATCTGTATTAAAACAGGTTTTGTTTCTTCCTGCATGAGCAGAACATTGCATGTGGGTAGCAAACACTCTTGTCCCAGTAGCTACGATCTTTTTGGCCAGTCATGGATCGAAAGTGGGGCACGCCACATGTTTATACAGTGGAACCTCGATATAACAAACCTCTATATAATGAAACCCTAGCTATAACGAACGATTTTCTTCGCCTCAGAAATAATACAATTTATGAAAAAGAATCTCGATTTAACATAACCTCTTTATAGCGAACTTATTCTGCAGGTGCCTTGAACCTTCGTTGTATAGAGGTTCCACTGTATAAGTTGCAACACTAGTTGTCAACATGACTATGGTTAATGCAATTGTGGTTGTTTTATGAAGTATTTGGTTATCGAATGGCTCACTGCTGTACTGTGGATTCCACCATTAAACAAATCCATTTTGTTTCGCTAAGTTATAGTTTTATTGTAGTACTTTGAAAGCTCTAAGCTAGAATCTTAATACTGAACAGGCTGCGGGGACTTACGCAACGGACCTAAGTGCCCAGCCCCTGAAGCACAAACTACACTTGGTCAGCACTGCTTGCATCGATAGTTTCTCTGTCTCTTGTTTGTATGAAATAGAATTCGTTTAAAATCTTAAACTGCATCTTTTTCTACATTGTTCTGTTAGTATACAAAGGTTTAAGGGCAGGTCAAACAGTGGGTGCTTCACTGTCTTAACGTTGTCACGTCATGAAAAACATTGTTATGTACAATTGCCAACATTGTTCGACATTGTAACGACATTTGAAAGCCAATGTTGGGTCCAAGGAGACAAAGGGAGGCGAGGTCACCACGTTTAATCTCAACTCACCCAACCCACCCAGACGCATTGGGGGATTCAAAAAGTAGTTTTGTCTAAAGCGCCAGTGCTGTTTGTCTTTAAATCAATCTTTCTGAGAAAGATGACTCCACTACTGTCTTTAATCTCCGACTGCCTTTTATAAACGCTGGTGCCAACACTTGCAACTGGATGAACCAGTCTGACTCTTTTTTTGAACCTCTCCCTGATCTGTAGACAAAAAGTGATTACCATGGAAATAGACCCCTTAGCTTGTATGTTTTGTTTTCCTATTGAGGTCCCAGGGGAATTTGACCCTTTGTCGTACATTTGCACATGCGTACATATGCGTACATAAACGAAATTTGAAAGAAGCAGTCCCCTCGGGTATTATTACATAACCTGTTTTGGGAAAACAAAACATAAAAGCTAAAAAAGCTTAAAAAGGTCTATACTAAGTCATCTTCCCCATCACAGTTGTAGAGCAATAAAAGAATTAGCCTACAGACATATACTACCAATATATTGTGGACGCCCTTATCAAATACGTATGAACATAGTAATAAAAGTATATTAAATTTTCGCAGCGTGTAACTGACACCTTAGTGAAAAATTTTTCTACTCCGATCACTTGCGTGTTGCTAGTCATTATCTGGCAATGGCACCCGATCATTGCGCGGGAAAACTTGTAGTACTTACGCACGCACGCACAGAATGGCATATTTGACTCAATTTTCGATACCAGCTCTCCTCAACCCAATGATAAACAAGATGGCGGACGAAGCGTCCGTCATACGGCTTTTCATATGTTTGCATGAGGTCTGGGTCAAAGTGACCTATGATTGGGCCACGGCCTTGTGCTTATGCTTGTGCTTATGCTTATGCTTATGCGCTAGTGAAAACCAGGCTTTAGGGATTAGTGCTATTCGATACTGCAAGGGTGTTCGATTCCAAAAGTTGTACATACCTCACTGTTTCTAAGACAATGGAAAACAAAGATAAAGAAACCCTGAAAAACAAGAAAAGATTGTGCAAACATTAACCACAAAGGACTGCAAAGGACCGCAAACGAATATGCCGAAGAACGTAGTACGATCAGCATTGCAGTTTTCTGCTTGCAGAATTTAATATGTCTACATTATTATTTTTGCTGATCAGGTCTTTATAAATCCTACGTTCTTCGACATATTCGTTTGCGGTCCTTTGCAGTCCTTTGTGGTTAATGTTTGCACTTTATGAATTTTTGGGCCGTAGATCTTTTATAGATCCGATATGCTGTAATTCTTGCTTTTTTTTAGGTTGGTTTTGGCCAATTCTTTATTTTCTCTGCGAGACATCAACTTGACACTTGGACTCTTGCCCCCCAGAAGACACGCGGTATGACGTGATTCTGTGGGTGTTAAGAGTTCTGGGTCAGGGCTTAAAGTCAAAGTGCGCGGATATTTTTCATCAGAGCTTTCTCTGGTTGTTGCGCCATACTGACGAGCCCCAAAAAGGGCGAAACAGCTGTCTATGACTACAATCCCGCTCTGTTTTGAGTTCTTTCGGTGTCGTGTTGATGTCTTGCAGAGTTAATTTCACGTGGTACGGTTAGCATTGCAGTATTCTACTTGCAGAATTTAATATGTCTACAAGAAAAGATTATTTACTCGTCAAACGTGTCTTGTGGTTTTGAAAAAGTCATTATTACAAATTTAGTCGAACCCCGTTAATACCAACACAGAGGCGACAACAGAAAGTCCCCATATCAGTCATGTCACTTAAGTAAAAACTAAACTGTTTATTGGATAAAAATTCAGTAAAGGAAAATATAACGGGATATTACAATCATCAAAGAAGACATAACTTTAACTTACACAAAGTTATTTTTCCGCGAACTTAATGCCCGTGGAAAGTTGCTCATTTACATATTTCTTAATCAAAGACAGTACTCTGCCCAGCTCAATTGCTGCCAAAACAGTAAGAATTGATGTCTTGACTTAATCTTATGACTCGTCTGCTACTATTATACGAAGATTTTTTTTTACTTTCATAAGAAGTACTGATATTACCGAACACCGTTGACAATAAAGTTTCCTTATTAGTGAGATTTACTGTCTTTGAGAATTCTGTCGATTAGACTGGTTCGGTAATAAGCGGGAGGAATTTAGAGAAAATGAAGGGGCTTTCCGCAGAAACGAAGAGAACTGATCACTTAAACAAACGTAAAGTGGGGTTGGAGTTTATACAATTCAGAAAACGGTTTAAAATCAAAATTTAATTCACCTGAGTGGAGTTGACGATGACGAAAATGTAGACAAAGGCTTTGTGCGTTGAAGAAAGTGCGCCAAAGAGCCACGTGACCCCAAGTAAAGGCAAAAGTACCACGCATGCTCTAATGCCAAGCCTACAAAAATTACAGAGTATTCAATCTTGCGCTGATCAGAACGGAACGTCTATTTAGCCTAAACGAAATCCTGCTAAAATAACATTCTTATTACCTTATTTGTTCAGAATGGTTGTCTTTTGCTTGTTGCATTGTCGTCATTTCCTTGATAACGCGCACCAGGATAAAAAGGTTTATCTGGAAAAAAAACACTTATTTCTTAAAAACGTGAGGATAAGAACAACACACACCAGAATACAACAAGTCTTATGCTTCCTTTTACAGAATCAGTATGAAGTCAAGTTCGCTGGGAGACCAAAAAATGACGAATCCATTTAGGGTAAGGCCTTTTATTTAATTAAAGCACATAAAGCTTTGAAACTGCAGGTGCAAGAGAGAATTATCTCAGCAAAGGTGAGGATACACCCACCAGAGCCCCAGGCGAGGATTGAGTGACAAGGCAATGGATGAACCTTGAAATCAGGAATTTATGGAGGTCTTAATTTTTGGCCGATACTTGGGAATAAGTTTCACTTACTATTTCCACTGCTACGACAAATGACACGAATATCCAAATCAGATTACCAGAAGAAGACATCCAGCAACTGAAACAAAACAAAAAAAATCGAGAAATTGCTGAATGTGTTTGTTTGTTCCAAACGCTTCTTTAAATACGATTCCGATTATACTGATCTATTGCACATTATTGTATATTAGACAACCGGAGTTATTATTAAAATGTTTCTTCCTTTTTCACTTTCGATTTAATGCGATAATAAAACAAAATATTTACTAGAGCACGACTTCCAGTAAGCAGTATTTGAAATAATCGCCTCCCTCGAATAATCGCCCCCTTTGGTGCGAAAAAGAAAATAATTATCGCCCCAGGCTCTTATTCGAGGAAATACGGTATTTCAAACTATAATATGGAGTGGAGTGGAGCTTGCTCTATCGGTGTTCTAGGCCTCTTGGCGAAGTTTGCAAATAAATAAATAATTGATTGATTGAATAAATAGATCAACATATCAAATGCAGTTCTTACTAATCGTCATTAACAAAACTTTTGATCCCGTCCATTCTGGCTGCAATAAACAGCGATAACGCGACCATTGCAGCAGGGATACCTGTGCATTAAAGTAAAATTAAAAAAAATCAAATAACATAATTTGATATTTTGCCTAAAGCTTGAAAGGGACTGTGCTGCGGCTGTCTGGTTCATTTTGTTAATGATGCTAACTACAATTTGTAGGTATCCTTATTCGCAGACTTTGAGAAATTACTCGTGAATGACAAAATTCCACCTTCGTGTCAGACATGTATCTCTCCCAAGCATTGTTACAAACCAAACGACAAAAATGAACCTTGAAAAACTGTTAGGCTAAGAAGTTTTTAAAAGCCACAATTGCAATCTGTTTCAATCTACTTCAAGTTTGTCCATTTTATATATACCTTCCTTTCACGTTTAAGTGGTTATTTTTATTTTCACTTAATTTAGTGGTGTACATCCCACTGTTTGAAATTTGATACATGTGTGACACAGCTCAGAGCGTTCAGAAAACTTTTATATGCCGCCGAGCTACCTGCGATATAACTGCCGGTACTGCCCGCGACACCGTTCCGGTATGAGAACAGAAGTCGCCGGCAACAGAGGCCATGTCAGTCTTTACCGCCGGCATGCCTGTGAAGTGGACTCGAGTTCGACTTCGCAGGCATGCCGGCGGTAAAGGCCAGCGATGTTTCCTGTTACCGGAGGCGATATATCCTACTATTTTGGAGTAGTGTTGTAGGCAGTACTAGCGGTTATGTCGCAGGTACCTCAACGGTATATCAGAACCAGGTTTTAGTCATATATAGCGGACTCCTAGTACAGAATTGACTCGTAACCATGACAATGCTCAATTACTAAACGCCCAAACTGCCACCTACAAAGTAAACCTACCCCAGGAAGCTCCGTGGTAAATTTTCATCCTGCTGCTGACGTTGTAAACTTTAACAACAAACATGTAAAGGTAAATTCCCTCGATCAGCATCCAACAAAAAGCCGCCATGATGAAATACTGAATCATAGCGGCTACTGCTACACAGACACCCTGAAACAAAGTTGGACATATTCTTATTTACGTGCAGTCAAACCCCGTTAACACGGACACTGAGGGGGTCATAGAAAGTGTTCGTATTCACGGGGTGTCAGTATTAGTATAGGTCATAGCATGATTTGTAGTGATATTTGGCATAAATACCACTAGTGATATTTCGAAATTGTATAGGTAATTTCACGAGCCATAAGGCGAGTAAAATTTCAGACAATTTTGAAATATCACTAATGGTATTTATGCCAGATATCACGTACAAATCATACTATTATTTGTTTATAGTACTACCCGCAAAAGGTTTGTAATTTTCACATGTAGGTATTCCAAATTAAACTGAAATACCACTGCTCTAAGCCAATCAAATTGCAGAAATTTCTCATGTAGTAGTATAAAGCGGGGAACATTTAGGGAAAATGCAAGGGCAAGGGACAAGGAAAACTCTCCGTAATTACGAGGCGTACGTATCAAGTAGGCGTCCGTGAAGCGGGGTTCGACTGTACTTAAGTAAACCAAGCATTTCCAGAATAGCGAAAGAGATGTATTCCTTACTTGATTGAAATCAAGGTTAAAGCTTCTTTTGCCGTAAAAATAATTTTACTCGANCCAGAATAGCGAAAGAGATGTATTCCTTACTTGATTGAAATCAAGGTTAAAGCTTCTTTTGCCGTAAAAATAATTTTACTCGATCTGTACCGCTGACTTACAAATAACAGAAGTGACCGGAAGACATAAGACAGAGGGTACAAATAGTTGTAAGAATGAAAGAATGTAGTGAATCCCTGTAGGTAGAATGCGAAAAAATATACCTGGCAATTTGAAAGACCAAAATAACTTCTGGAGTTCTTATTAAACACTTCCCATCTGCGCTTATTACAATAGCCGATTTCACACTAGCTAGAGACGGATTATCCGTCGGAGTGACAAGGGTTATCCGTTGGACAATTCGCATCAAACAGATAATACGTCTTAACCTAAAAATGGACCGGTCTTAATTTTGGAAGAACAATCCGTCTGACTTTATCCTTCTTTTCATCTGTCAATTTTGACACATTTTCACAGGAAAAAAAAAACAGATTCCCATTTTTGGATATTTTAGGGTATTTGAAGAATACCCACAAAAATCCCAACTTTGGAAGAGTGAGACAAGTCCCAATCAGGGAACTTGGTTGGGAATTCCCTGGTTGGGACTTGTCTCACTTTGCCAAATTTGAGATTGTTATGGGTATACTTTAAATACCCTAAAATATCCAAAAATGGGGATCTGTTATTTTTTCCTATGTTTGAGGAAGGATTATCCGTCTCAGACGCATAATCCGTCTCTAGTGTGAATACGGCCAATACCTTGCTTTTGGTCGCGTTTATACCAGTAAGAAAGATAATTTGTCCTGCTCCTAGACAGGTGACGAGGCTTATCCTGATCTGGGATAATGGTGTTGCAAGCTCCCTGTTCAAGACAAATATTTCAACAAATATGAAAATGAACTGATGAATCGACGAAGGATAACAGATGAACAGATTTTACTGGGATTTTAAAGATTAACACGTACGTGAGAAAAGCGTAGCAGATTATTGTCGATGTTATTCCAATGAGGGACAGCGTCAGACCAACGTAAGTGAGAATGTTCAGTATCCTTTCATCTGCCTGTATAGGATAAATGAACGGACAAAATAGTTTAATTAATGCAAATTATTATAAATGACAGCCTCACCCCATGTGATGTAAGGTTTTCCTGATTCCGGAATGCGGGAGATTTTTGCTTGTGGAATCTGGAATCCCGGGCTTCGGAATCCAGAATTCAGGTAAAGGAATCCGGAATTCCACCAACGATTGGAAATTGGAATCCAGATTCCAATGAGAAAGCATCAGGAATCCAGTCCCTGAAACCTGGAACCCACAAGGTGGATCTGTCTTGGATTACATTACATTGAACCAGACAGTGATTATGGCTGGTAGACTTGGCAAATAAGGAATAAAAACAATGTTACTGAGGAATGACTTTTGTTGTGAGTAGTAAAAAGACTGGATTGTAAATGCCGTATTTTGTCATTGGTGCAAGTGACGTGACAAGTGTGAAGCAGCGTTAAGATTACTCAACAGGCAATGTCATAAATTTTCCTACGAATACCTGACCTTAGTTATTCTGATTTTACTTCTCCCTGCAGAAGTCGAATCAAACTGCATCAGAACCGCAAAATGAGTCAAATGATTGCAGCTGCATTCGGTTTTGTCATTGCTCATCCATTTCACTTGACATCCATTTCCTGACCACCCAACAGGGCTAAAAAAAAAAAAGAAAAGAAGTATACTTCCCTTGAGTTTTGAAAATCCTTACTACCTTACTCTAGTTGTGTTTCTTTTCGAAAGGATTTATTTCTTTATCTTTACACTTATGAACTGCGGATTGCCAGGCAAAAAGTAATAGACAAAGGGCGGAGAGTGAAAAGACAAAGTGGAAAACCCCTCCCTGACTTTATGCAATTTTAACTCTTCCATGTTTAAATGGGTACACACCGAACGTCTGTAATTCTGGGAACCTGTAAGTGAGAGAATTTTCTCTACGACTGACATGAGTTTCTACGTAAACCACAGTTTGGTAGACATGATCTAAATTTGTGGAAAGTATCACAGCCTCTCTTGTAATACTTTCCACAAATTAAGATTATTTCTGCATCTTAACTGACTTCATGGAAATAAAAAAAAAAACATCTGAAATAAGGTGTTGCCATTGACCTTTTGTCCACAGTATGTGATAACATCAAAGCTTATTAACTACCTCAGCACTGTGAATTATTTTTAAAGTTCTTTGTCAAACTGTCATACCCCTAATATCTTAGAAATTAAGTGGCGTGGGGCAAGGACTCGGACGTTTTTGACATAATTGAATGAAAGAAGGGGTATTGACTGCCGGATGTTGAAGCCTTCTACAGTTAAGACCTTGAATTCGAGCATATGTCTCTGGTCATACATACCTGTAATCCAGGTTTAAGTTCCAAAAAGCACATTCCCTTTTCCCAGTAACCTCCTAAAATTATATAGAAAGATCTTATGCATTCTGCAACACTTAAAATAATTATTTTTACCATACTTGAGCGAAATTCTTGCGCTAGTTGCTCGAGAGCTAAATTTGGTAAGAGTACAGACCATGGAAATGACGTGATGGTGGTGCAATTTGTTTTTCTCTTTATCGTGCGCGCGAATTTCAGAGACACTTCAACGGAAATGGACGTCAAAACTGTCAATGTTATTGTACAAAAAACAAGTGATAACAATTGTCCATGGTTTGTACTCTTATCGACCATAGAAATTACGACAAAATATTCAAAACTTTGCATTGATTTGAACATCATGACGTCATTTCTACGGCCAATAAGGGTACAGACCATGGAAAACAGTTGTCGATTAAGCCAAATAAAGAAAGGATTAAACTACATAGCTGCAAGAGTATTTATTGTTGAAAGTTTCAACAGGGAACTTCGAATAAGGAAGATGGAAAAGAGTGTAAATAATACCCACAGCTACGCCAGCGTGATGACAAAAAATGTCAAGTATTAAAGAGTTAATCAATGGTTTTGTAGTGTCGTGAAAAAGAGAAAAACGGGCTTAAAGCTCACCTTTAAGTTTGAGAACACCAAAGTCACATTTTTCTGCAAATAATCAGGTTGCGGATCAATTGTTCCTGACATTATGATGGTATTCAGTCTTCTGAAAAAAATAAATAAATAAAAAAGATATGTAACAGAGAGTCACTATATGGGTTTGGTTAAATAGCGGACATCTATTACGTTTTGGATAGATTAAATACTATTTCAACAAAAGCTTGGAAATTTTCTTGATACGCAAACAACAACGGTGATTTTACCACGACTCCAGGCTATGCACAGGTACATGAAACCAGTCACGGTTAGGCAAAAAAAAAGAGATAAACGAAATAGATAATGATGATGATAATGATACTGATGCCGATGTTCCAGCTGTTGGTGACGATGATCGTAGAGGTGTTAGTAGTAGTAGTAGTTGTAGTAGTAGTAGTAGTAGTAATAGTAGTAGTAGTAGTAGTAGTAGTAGTAGTAGTAGTAGTAGTAGTAGTAGTAGTAGTAGTAGTAGTAGTAGTAGTAGTAGTAGTAGTAGTAGTAGTAGTAGTAGTAGTAGTAGTAGTAGTAGTAGTAGTAGCAGCAGCAGCAGCAGCAGCAGCAGCAGCAGTAGTAGCAGTAGTAGTAGTAGTAGTAGTAGTAGTAGTAGTAGTAGTAGTAGTAGTAGTAGAAGAAGAAGAAGAAGAAGAGGAAAAAGAAGAAGTCTTTATTAAAACATCAGACACAACATACGTGTGGCTTTAGAATCAGTAATAAATATGTTTTTTACAAAATAACAAAAATTAGGTTACACAAGGATATCAAGAAAAAGAATATTTCTAAAAAGACATCTATTTACAAAAGCCCGCTTAAACAGTTCAGTTTTCACTCTAAGAAGTATGAAGTCGTGGCCCCTATCTCTAAGGGCCCTGTTGCGTTTAGGTGGAAGCAACTCATACAATACATGACCAGTGTAAGTAGGGATTCTGTTTAACAGATCACTGTCCCTGTTCTTTATCACATCAGACATTAAAAAGATCTTATTTGTACAGCTAAAACGATAGGCACGTCTTATGAAAGTGTCAATCAGATCTAAAAATTTGCTTTGGGAAGCAAAAGCCCACACTTCTAATCCATTCTGAAAAAATCAAATTATCAAAGACTCGAAGAGTGCACTGAGCTGGTCTTTAGTGTACCCAAAATACTTGCATACTCTAAGAAATACAGACGACCAGCAGCTCTAGAAAGGAAGCTGTCTACATGAACATCACAATTAGAAGGATCTTCGTGGACAGTAATTCCCAAGACTTTCATCCACTCCTCTCGTTCAATCCCAGGCACTGGAGGGGAAACAGGCGCAACACATTTCCAATGTCTATGATAAATTCAAAGACATCCTGTTGTTGGCTGCCCAGCTCTCGAGGTTCTCAACATCTGTGAGCACTGTGTAATAATGATGATCAAGATGCTGATGTTGATGCTGATGCTGATGTTGATGATGATTATGATGATGATGATGATAATAATGCTTCTTTTGGTGATGATGATGGTAATGCTGATGATGGTGCTGATGCTGATGCTGCTGATGATGATGATGATGATGATGCTGATGGTAGTGTGGTCAATACAAGAAAAGTCTTGATAATAGGCAGTGTAAAGGCATTAAGTCAAATAGCTAAAGCTAGTTTAGCAAAAAAATCAATGAGATGGAGTAAGCAAAATATTAATATAAATACTTGGTATGAATGCTTGGCTAACCTTTCCTCGTAAGCTGTGTTCGCCTTGAATTTATTTGTAGGAAAGAGTTCGTGGATGTTTTTGTACACAACTGCTAGCAGCACTGACCCTAAACAATACGGAACAAAGGTATCACTGAATGACCGACTTGTAAACACTTAACTAGTACGTAAATAGTATTCAAGGAAGACCCCTCTTCTCAAAGTTACCCTTCATTTTCAAAATATTTTATTCAACTATTCTCCGAAGGGGAGGTGAATAATGGTAGTAATGTATGAAACGCGAAGCGTCGAGGTATATATCTAGCTCTATGAACCGACCCTGAGAGGGATAGCTGTTTTAGTATTTACCAAAGCAGTTGGATAAAAATAAAGAAAGGAACTTTTTGTAAATAAAAGACGTCACTTAGTTAAGAGTTTGTTTACGTTTCAATTGACAGTGCTTCTGGGATCATTTTTTTTTACGATTTTGTTGCAAATTCAGCAAGAAAATAATTTTCTACCTACCAGAAAACACCCACAAGCCAAAGTTCGTCACTTTCTTGGTTTTTGTTTGTACGACTGCTTCATTTTTTGCTCAAATAAAAGTCTCGAAACGAGACCCCATCTTGGTTCCCGTCGCAAAACAGTGAATAAACAATGTTTTTCCGAGTTACAGTATCCAATCAAAACGCTCTAAAATTGCTATTCACTGATTTGGTAAATACTAATAATAGAATTTTTTCTTTGTTGAAGTAATATTTCCAATTAAATTATGACGCTAACAGTTAAGCAGAATGGACCTTATCTCTTTAGAACGCACTGGACTCGAGAAAGCTTGAAGAAACGGTGATCCGTTCTGTTTGATAAGGGTAATAGTTGAGCCCTAGATAGTAATCATTTTATGAAATCTTTTGCATAAGCTTGTTCAGCATAGGATTCCAATGAGAGAAAGAAGTTTTGACCGTGTGTGGATTTTAGTAAAAATGAACGTTCGTCTCTCCAAAGAATGACCTAAATTCAACTCTTGTTACTCATCATAACAACACAAATATTGCATTTCCTCACCAGAGTCCTATCGCAAGTAAGCTTTAAATGAATCGAACAAGAATGGCGCACATTTGAGAAGCTTAAATAAATTTACATGCGCCTTTTCACTCCCTGGGCGTACAATAATAGTGGCTAAAATAATTCATTCAAAATGGCGCTCGTAAGTTCTATTCCTTTACGTTTCGCGAGCAATTTCAGTTAAGTTAAAGGATTTCATTTAGATATCCCGAAAATTCCAGCGCATCACTACAAAGAGGCTTGTGCTTTATGTTTAAACGTTTTTACCATTTGCAGACACTTCTAAAGGAATCTTTATGTTGCTCTGCCCTTGCGACTCTTCGAAATAAAAGTCGTCTTCATTGTCGTCGAAGCGTTTCCTGATCTGTAGTTCTGTAAAGAAATTTCTCTTGGAACGTGATCTTTACAACACTGATTCCGCTTCTATTTAAATTCAAGAACAATGAATAGGGGCTTACTGAAACCTAGCCTCTCTATATTAAAAACTAGGAAGATAAGGAATATGTAACAACAATGGTATTTTTAGATCGAAAACGGCGTGTTGAAGTTGCATGTTCATGATTTTGATTAAGCAGCTTTCGTTTGGTTTTCTCTTCTGTGTCTTCTTCGAAACTGACACCAGGACCTTAAAGATGCTCTGATGACCTGATTTTTCCTGTTGAGTAGCCTAAGGGTACACAAAATGGAACCGACCTAATATAGTCCATAATATACCTCCTCTTAGGTTTACAAAATTGGCCATCGCAATCAATAATTACGCGCATTCTGGTATAAAAATGTTGCATCCAATGCTAATCTGATCAAGTAATTATATATTTAAAAACTAATCGGTGCTATTCCCCTGGTGTTATTCTAAAAACAAACAGAAGTACAACAAGCAAGCTTATTTTTCTCAATGACATGATTTGAACACTTACCAACGTGGTCACTCGTTAGGTTAAAGAGGGATTCTGTTTCGTTGAGATGATGCTGAGCAAACGTTAATGCAAATTCCTCAAAAGCCACGGTGGCCAGGAATACTTCTTGAATAATTCGCTCCCTTCCTTTACTCCATCTTCCATCAAAAATGGTTGTGCGATTTTTGCCCTTCTTGATTATACGTCCAAGGTCTTTAGAGGCATCCTAGATTATTAAACTTGTCAGTCCCTATAATCATGTAAATTGTGTGGTTGAATTTTATCCCTCGGTTCAATTTTTTGTCTTTGTTTGTTTGTTTGTTGTTGTTGTTGTTGTTGTTGTTTTTTTTTTTACATGAGTATGTAAAATAATTTGGACAAAGGATTCAAATAAACTACAAAATATATCTTGTTTGTTTTGTTAGGTCTTGATGTTTAAACGAAACAAACACAAACTATGCGAATTGAAAGTCTAACTAAAATGCCCTCTGTAATATCATTGGGGCATAGTTTACCCAAAGCAGTTAAAAGAAGGAGGTGAGAGAGTGGGAGGTAAAATCATTTTATAGGCAGCCTTTGTCGGGACCCACAAGGTAAGTATTTTTGGTATGGTGTTCCAGGGGAATCTGTGATGCACTCAGTCAAAATGATCGCCATTTTGTGTTGATAAGAAGAAGTTATGGTTCAAACTCGCTGTAAAATAATTTGGGATAACCCTGGCCGGTGGTCTCCCCATCCCTTTCTCCCTGTAGGTCTAAAAGCTAAAAAATATGGTGTTGGAACCACATTTTTTAATCCTTAGTAAGTTAGGAACCAACAAATATAAAGCAAAAATATTGGTCGTTTTATAAGTATTCTAGAAAAAGAGATATAAAATGTTTCCAAAAATGATTTCACAGACATTTTGTATTCCATATGTAAAAGTAGGGAAGATTTTCCTTTTTATAAAAAGTCTGTAAATTCGCGATTTATGAACATTTCACTATCTCTGTAAATGCTCCAGATTTTCCAATAGGTGAGTTGGTAAAAATCACGAAACACAAGAAAATATCCCGATCATAGCGACTGTGTTCCCTATCATCGCAATACGATAATAAAAACGAAGATGGAGCGAACTTCAGTTTATGCTGAAAATAAAAGTAAACCAAAATGCATCACTCGAACAATCATGGTAAGAGTAGATCATCTAAACAATCCTACAGCCACGCAAACACATAGATGGCGAAAAGCTTGCTTCAATCGTGGACACGGTTATATGACTGATTAAATAAAAAGAAAAGAAAATCACCACAGTATTTTACCTGCAAAGAGGTTCTAACTTTGACGTTACGTGTGCAGAGGGCATTAATCATCTATAAAATAGCAAGGGAAAGATCATCATCATCATTATCATCATCATCATCAACATCAACATCAACATCATTATTATCGACATCATCATTATGATTAGGTTATCATTATCTCTACCATAATCATCCTGACCTTGTCATTATTAGGGCCGTTTATACGAGAGAAAATAAGCCGCGGCTTACTATAGCCGCGGCTTACTATGGCCGCGGCTTACAGAAGACGCGAACACCCCGTATAAATGGTACAAAATCTATGTTCACGGCTTATTCAACCCAAGGCCAGCTCAAGCCGCAGCTTATCCTGGCCGAGTGGTTTTGGGATGGGCTTATCCAAGCCGCAGCTTACCTTGGACGTGAAAGTGTTCGTATAAATGCACTCAAACGTTGTCCGCGGCTTGCTGAAGCCGTGAACGACTGCTGAACATGCTCTTTTTTCAGTTATATCTTAGACCTTCACGGCCGAGAGACGCGCGTTGCAGTGGCAGGAAAATGAGTTTTGTTTATGTTTACAAAGTGGAAAATGGCGGATAGAGATTCATGTAAAAAAAGAAATGTGTGGAGTGCCCCAGAAGAAAAACAAATCCTGCTCATATGCAGCGAGCTTGAGATTCCGGGGCAGCTCGATGTCTGCGTTACCTAGGCGACCGTAAGTTCTCCGATTTTAATTTTAAATCTACGCTTATTAAAAGTACAATCTGGCCGCGAAATAAGCCGTGAACCATTTATACCAGCAGTTCGCGTCTAATATAAGCCGTACTCGTATAAATGGTTCCTTTCGCGTCTTATGTAAGCCGCGGCCGCGGCTTATTTTCTCCCGTATAAACGGCCCTATTATCATCTTCATTAACCCCACCCTCAAAATTCCAGGCAGGAGTGCTTATTGAAGGTCGTGATGGATTTTGCCAACGACCAACTTAGAAACTAATTTAAAAATTCCACTGGCACTAACACTTTCTAGACACTGACGGAATCATGAAAACACGTTTAAGGATATCATTAATCCCCAAATTTGCTGTTTTAGTTCACATATCAAGCATTATACAGCATGAACAGATCAGTAACATTATGGCATAGGGCTGATGTAAAGCCCATTTCAAACATTTCGTATTCCTCTACCTCTCTGCTTAAGTCTCCATCATCTTCTTCATCATCATCAATGTATTCTGATCCAGCCTCTGGGAAAATAAAAGATTAGCCTGTTGTTTTCGAAAATATTAACACTAACAAAAAGATGCTTATATAAACTTAAAGGCTGCAAGCCTGAGCCGATTTCCTTTTGGACGTTATTCTTTCCTGGAAGTAATATAATAAAAATAATCATCATCATCATCATAGTAACAATAATAATATCTAGTATATACTAAAACAGTGGATAGTGATTTTCGGGCGCTCAGATTGGCTACTCAAAGTCGGAACATCCAGTGCTATTCACTGATTCATCTCCAGGCTCCGAGCAACGCTTAAGTTATGACCACAATGGTTTGCTACCATAACAAACGAAAATTTCACAAATAAACGAAGAGGCTGTACCCGAAAAGCACGAAGAAGGGGACAAAATCTGGTTTGGCAGTTTTTACAGGTAAAGTTTTTTCTGTTTAACCTGAATTTATCGATGGAACCTGTGAAAAATTTTGTTGTTTACAAATGCAAATTGAGTTTTGCGTTACTTTATTTTGCAGACAAGGTCATAATATAAATAACTTTTAAACTAAATGAAATGGAGTTTTTTTACAGGATGGTTTCAAATACAGAGAGAACTTACAACCATTTTTGAAGAAGCGTCACCGCAACAGCTAAAAAATGTCTTCAAAAGTTTTTATGTTTATCGGCAAGAAAACGTGACGGCCGTTCGCGCGCCAAAATTGTAATCGTTGGCAGCAATCAATGAGTTTAAAATCATCATTTTTGCCTCAATTATCGCACCGTTTTAGAATATAATAAAACAGTTATTCACCTCTGTGTCGATGGCTAGACGGCTAGGGTACAACCCATAAGACTTAGGAGACCATATGTAATGCGCCTGCGTGGCCCCAACAATATTGGAAGAGCTGTGCAAGCAGACTCAACATTGTTGTGCTACTCTTTTGCGATCACGGATCAAAAGAAATGTTTGGAGTTGTTGGACCGGTTTTAAATTTTACGTAACAACTCCCAACCACACGCAACAACACGCAACAACATGCAACAGGGTGTGCAAACGGACGCAACATGTCATCCAACAATTTTGGGAGCTGCTCGCCAACAATTCTTGGTCCTTTTACACGGGGCCAGTCTACGACCTGCCTCCCTGTGGCAAAGTATTGCCAACTGACCTAGTCCTGATCCCGAGGTACTGCCTTTATTCTGTAGTTGACCTAATCGTAGGGACGCCTACAAGGCCACATAAAAATTGTTAAGGTCCCGTCTCCAGCAAGGGGCTTAAATTGGTGCTTTGTTCTAAATACACTAACACTTAAGTCACTTACCGCTTTCAATGGAATCACATCGAGTAATTTTCGTGGTAAAGGAATCGTAACGGCACTTCTCATAAGAGATTTGTAATTTAGAATTTGCATTCTCCAGTGAGAACTCAGAATAATTCAAAATGTTATAGTACACCTTGAATTTCTCAATGCATCTCGCTTTTAGTGTTATTGAATTGAAACATTTTGCAATTAACTCGCACAGTTCTTCTCTTTTCAAAGGTTTTAACCATCTAGCGTTTGTTCCATTGACGAGCTTATCACACGTTGCGTTGATGCCCGTCCAATGTCCTACGCATGGTGATTTCACTACAAAAAGGAAACAGAGACAAGGCTTAATAAGGCCTCGAGCTGACTGAAGAACACATAAAAAATGATAGGGAGGTCACTTGTTTCGAGTTCTGATTACTATCGACACTAGTTCAGTAGGTACGAGTGTCTTATGGAGAACTTGCTTGCGATACTACGAAAGCGACCTCAACGGGAACGTCCAAAACACAATGGGTTAAAGTAAGCAAAACAGCAACTCCGCACATCCATTACGCCGTTTTGTTGCCCCTGAACAACTTCGATGAGAAAAGGCCAAATTTTAGGTTGACATATTTGTCTGAATTCGTTCCCGGTCCCCTCTCGGTTCCAACCTAATCTCTCTATTTTCAAGTAACTGAGCGACTTGGAGTAATAACGGCGAAAAAGTGTTAGAGGACGCAAACTCTATTTTTCAGAGACGCTTTCATTAGCGTCTCTGTTGTCGGATTGCAAGGATTCTAAAGATACGGATATCTGTGTAATCAGGAGCTCCTGCTGTAATAGAGTAAGGTCCTCATATAACAGGAACTTCGTTTCGCCCTGACCTTTAAAAGAAAAGTCAATAGCAATTAATTCAGAGGGATTAGGGTTAAAAGTTTCCAGATGACAGAGGTAAGATCTGCTGCTGGGTATTCTACAAAACAGAAAAAAACATTATAAAATGCCTTAAAACGTCTATTTTCAACCATGGTCTGGGAGTTAAAAGCACTGAAAATCTAGCTATTGATATTGGTCAAAGCGGGCTCGCACCCAGTCCTCGGGATTGAGAGCCCACTCGGCCAACCTTCCCCGATTGCAAATCTGCTGCGTTGGTCACTGGGTCGGCACAGCTGCGCAACTTTGTTTGCTTCAGGCCAATAAAAAGGGGTAAGCTTCTAAGGTCGTTTGGGTCAGCTTCGCATTAATTAAGACTTCATTGTTTCGTAAAGTCACCTTAGGGGAAATTTACAGTTACCGTGCATGCACGATCAATTTAGATGAGAGACGTTTCCTGAGAGTCTAGCTTCTTACCAGTTAATGCTTTGGTCGATCTG